CAAAACAGCGGTTCTACAGCGTCCTAACAACTCTTTTCACACCATTAGACTTGAGTGTATTGTGCGAAATGTATCCGCCTGGGAAGCCAAAGTTTGCAGGCAGTTACACCTGCATATCCTTCGCGCTATCCTTATCCCGAACACAATCTAATTAACTGTCATTGTGTTAAAAAGACGCCAAACTGGCAACCGAAAACTCGCGCCCGCCCCTTCTCTGTGGCCTGCCAGTTCCACAATGACAGCCGCCCTCTCCCCACGTCCTTGCAGTAGTTTGCGTGTCAAGTTGGCTCCTTTCAGGAAGCCGCTCCACAGCCCCCTCCCGGTCACGTCATCCGCTGCGCTAATACTAATGCGTTGGCAATAACAAAGGTTGCACATGCTCCTCCAACACCCAAAGTTGGCGAGTTGTTGGCAACTAATCAATAGAGCAAAATTTACGTTTAATTAAAAATGTCTGCGTGTGTAAACCGGGCAGGTGGCAAGTGAAATCAGGTGGGGAGCCAGCATAGGCATGCTGGTTAGGTCTGCTATCGTGACATTAGCTCAGCTGTCAGTTGGATAATTGCCTGGCTTAATGTGCAATTAGACCTAGAACCATCTTATAGCAGTTTTTTAGAAACATCCAAACAACATGCGTTGCAATATGAATATGAAATTGGTTGCAGGCCTTTCGAACCGCCTTTAAATTTACCCAAAAGTATCCGTTGGATACCAAAACATGGTACATTAAATGATTGATTTAAAGTATATAAACAGGAATGTTTGATGTAGCGACTTTGGAGAAAACCGAAATCTTCTCGGATTGACCACCCTTCAGATTGACCTTTCACCCCGCCACTTTATCCACAACTTACACGAGCCATGATAATTTATCGGCAACGAAATACTTTACATAAGGCCCACCCTCCTCCTCCTAATGTGCCCCCGGCCACCCCATTCGAAGATGAGTCCGAACGATGCCGAATGTAATTAGAAATCCTCAGCAAACATACATATGGGAAGCGCTGCTCCTTCGTCCTTCGCTCGCATGTGAGCTCAAGTGTGTATTCGTGTGTGTGTGTGTGGGTGTGGGAATGGGAGTGTTGCTGCAGTTGGTTTGATGTGCAAAATGAAGACATTTGAATTTGCGGTTCGGGCTCGAGCACCGTAGGCTATAGATTTTCTTACGACACACGCTCGCACATGCAGGTGTTGTGGGGTGAATTGGGCTGGGCTCCGATGTGTTGGGGGTTATATAATGCAACCACCCACCCACACACACACACACACACACACACACAATCACCTGCTGTGGCCTTTGTCTGCCCGCTGGCCATGCGAGTGGGTGGTTGGGCGTCATCTCAATATAAACTGCCTTCAACATTTAATTAGTGTGTTTTCGCACACAAGTCCCACGTCTATGTATGTGTGTGCGTGAGTATGCAAATGGCGATGGGCGCAACTGTACATGCTCACACACCTACATAGCCTTTGCTCTCTTTCTCTCTCCATCGCTCTCTCTGAAGACATCGCCGTATCGTTGGCTATACAAATTCCATGCCAACACCTTTTCGGCCAACGACTAAGACAAACTTAAGTGGGCGAGGGGGCGGCACACTCTAAAAGCCCTCTCCCGCCCAAAAACACACACACATGACTGCCAGACTCACATACACATGCACAATTGCCTTTTATAATTAATTTTACAGTTAAGTGTATTTCAAGAAAGTTAAATTTACGTATATTCGAAATTTTGAAAGGCCATTGCCTTGGCCACAGCCCACACACACACAGCCGAGGGTTAAAGCCCTGTTAGCAGTGGGAAGGCACTGGAGGGGGCAAGGCGGTAGGGAGAGGGTAATACCGCACTAGTGTGAGTGTGTGTGTGTGTGTGTGTGAGACGTCCCTGCGGCTTGTGTCTGAGACATTTGACTGCTTTTCGGGCTAAGCTCTCGCCTTTCCAACTCACTCCTTGGCCGACACAAATTTTATTGAAATTGCCCGGACTCCGTGTGCACTGGACGAGGCAACACTTACATTATGCAATCTAATTATGTCTTGAGCTTCCAGTGTGTGAGTGACTGCGGCAGGACAAAATGGCGTCTTAGCTGGTAAGTTTGGGTTAGCCAGGCCAAGAGCAACTTGGCTCAGGGCAAACTTCACGGGAAACTGAACCTCACAACTGCGAAAAATAAGGTCTATTTTATGGAAATGTTTTAGTCGCCGTTTTGGAAATAAGCAGCAGGAAGAAAATCAATTTAATCCGATATTATACGATATTATATCATGTTACTCGCCTCAGATTGGCAATCCACAAATGTTTAAAAGAAACTACTTAGCGCTCCACACCATTGCTGTTTTGTAAATCCAAAAATTTCAATTCCTTAAGCTCCTAACCAAACTTTAATGTACGCTATTTTAAAAGCCATCCAACAGCACAGCCCAAAATAATCTAGTCCAAGCCCGAGAGCAGAACTCTCTGCTGGTCGAAGGAATAGAAAATCAATTTCGTACCCCCAAAACGTCCTCATTAAATTGCTCGCTGTACGACTAATGAAATCATTAAAATTGTTTAAAAGCAAATGCTCGTTGCCCGAGCCGTAGGACAAACATACACACACAGCCGAGAATATGCAAAATTTATGTGGCAACTAGAAACTATGTTTTGGCAACACGCACACAAACCCTCACACCTATATACGCAGTCGGCAAAGGACATTGCCTTGAGTTAGGATCGGGGCCGAGGACGAGGACGAGGACAGACAGCAAAAGTTGCCAGCTGGGGGAGGGGCAAATCCTTAGCAGGGACACCCAGCCACCCCCTGTGACCAGATACCACCACCCTCCACCCCAGCCCGTTTTGGCCGCGTGCGCTACTTAAACCCTTGCCGAAAACTATACGGTTTTGTGCTGGGACGCTGTCGGGGTGGCCAGACATCCAGAACATGATTTTAGTGTTTTCAAATTTGAATTTTAAACAAGTCATAATATAATTTGGCTAAGCAGAAGCAGCAGCAGCAGCAGAACATCCTGCTCCCGGTCCACGACTACTGTGTCCACTTGCCGGGCCTTAATCCGCCCAGCCCAGCCCAGTCCAGTCCAGTTCATTCAACTCCTTGCCAGTCCCCTCGATTGCAACCCTTGCGCGACGGCCATCGAAAATTAGCCAAGGCCCTAGCTCATTTTCCAACTCGGCGTTTTTCTTGCAGCGCCGAAATTGGGAAATTTAAATTAGATACAAAAGTATCTGTAGCCCGGAGGCGGGGGCGAGTCTATGCGTGCCAACTATCCACACGAAATATTGTAATTTTCTTGCAACTAAAGACGTAAACGGATATTAGCAGCAAATTAAGCCCTCTTCCCGTCCTTTTTCGGCTGTTCTGCTCCTTCGGTAGCGATGGGGGAATTCGCTTATCGAAAATGCTAATTTGAGTGATTGGTTAAAATCGAAAGGGGATTAATTTTCCAGCGATTAGGCAAGCTGCTTGGATATAATACTTGGGTAAGGCAGATTAAAACGTGCTGCATAATTTTGAACTAAGGCTAAAGCTACGGGAAGTAAACGTCTTTGAAATTATAAAAAAATATATAAGTATAACAAAAATCGAAACTCTTCGTGTAGTCACCAATAATTAATTTGGAATTATTTTATTTTGTAAGGCCATCGATAGTTTTCAATTACTTTCCCATCTTCAGCCGCAATAAGTAAATCGAAGCCGCTTCAGCGACAAACAGGACAACAGCATTTCGAATCGGGTTGCTGCTGTCTTGGGCTTTGGTCTGCTAAAAGGGTCCAAGTATATGGTCTAAAACATCCTCGAGTTGGCTACATTTTAAATATGCTTCTTGGGGGTTGGAGGTCGTGTAGTTGCAGAGGTTGTGGCTGTGGCTGGAGGTGGAGCTGGAGGTGGAGGTGTCCACCCAAGTTGGGGCGTCGGCTCAGTGTGTGGGCGGGCATTTGTGGGGCGTTGTTATCGTCAACTTGGCTGGCAAGCATTCTCCATTCTAATTTCTAATTATTTATCCATGTGTGTGTGTGGGCCTGGGTGTAGTCGCCTGACCAGATGGGTGGGCAGGATGCCGCCCCACCACATCCGTCCGTATGTCTGCCCGTCTGTCCTTCCGTCCGACTGTCTGTCTATGCGAATTAATTAAGTGTTTTCGTGCGCGGGCAAATCCTTTTGCGGCTCAGAAACTTTTGAGGTCTTTCGAGTCAAGGCGTATTACTGGGCCGGTGGGTGGGGGGAAAATCAATTATAAATTAAACATTTATTAAAGAAAGCGCACACATTGCCCCGGGGCAACGCAAGCGCTCTACCCCATCCCATCCCCAATCCCCAATCTCGGGTTCTTAGCCTGCCTATGCAAATCAGCTGCGGCATAAATAATGCGACATCATTATTTAGGCGGAGGTAGGCGCACAACTCGAATCCCCTTTTCGGATTCGGATCCAGATCCAGCCAGAACATTTCTGTCGCCAGTCAGCGATCCATCAATTATGTCTGCAGCTGGGGTAGATTCGAGGTCTTTGGAGCTGCGGAGACGGGCCTTGTCTCATTTCGATTGTCTTCGGGAGAAGGCTCCTTCCGCTCCCCTTTTGATTATGCACATGCATTTCGGCTCGTACATCAAACTCGAACTCGAATAAATGTGACGGGCTGCATGCATTCAAAGTTAAAGGAGATACGACGAAAAGCGAGGGACGTCCAAAAAGCAACAGCCAGGGGAATATGCTGATGGATGCCGGGTATAACTGATTTGTGTGTACCCGTATATATCTGAATTGGTAATTTGCTAGAAGCGACTTTAATATGGCACGCAGTTGTCCGCATCCCCTCCTCGAAACACTTTGCATACTCATCCACAGTCGGCCAAATGTTTTCGATTTACATGGCTAAGTAGCAGCGGGCCAGGTTTCAAAAACAAAATAAGACCAACGGCTATTTTCCAGCGGTAAGCAAACTAAAAGGGCATGACCATCTAGGCAGTATAGATTCAATTCGAATTAAAAATTAAGTTGCTTAAGTAAAAATCATTTTTCGGTTTATTTCTCGGAATTTTACGCACGGTAGAAAAGTTACTTTTACTGGATCGGTTTTGGAATATTTAGGTCAACGGAACAAGATACTGAGCGCTGGGATTAGGATTCGAACAGCACTATGAAATTAACCCCTGCTGCCCCCGCAGTTTGGCTTCCGTGGACTCCCCTCAAGCCTGTTCAGCTCGCGAATGAGATCGCAGGAGCTCGGAACGTCCAGGCAGTTGCATTCGATTGCCCGAGGCTTGCGAAGAGGTGGGTGAGCGCACTCCGAGAACGAAGGATAGGGGGCCTTGACCTTGACGCAGTCGGTTTTGCGTCTAACGACGTGGCAAGAGACGTTGTCCACGGGCCTGCAGCCGGGCATCTTGATCCTGGGGCAGTCCCCCTCCTCCGAAGGACATTCGACATTCTCTTGGCACTTTGGCACGAACTCCTTGCGCTTGCGCCGCGGGATCGGCGGACGAGCGCCCGCCTCATAGCAGCAGATCTTCTTGGGCTTTATCTGGATGGGCGGACACTCCACCCAGGTGACCTGGTACTTGCGCGCGGCCTTGTCGGAGATCTTGTAGTAGCACTGGTCGTACGGAGGGAACCGTTCCGCACAGGGATCGATGCAGCACTCTGGCGGCGCCTTTATCAGATGATGGAACTGGAAGCCGTCTCCCTTCTTGGGCGCTGCTTTCTTCGCGAACCGGGGGTCTCCACAAGCGGTGAAATTTCCGCAGCCCTTTCCAGACTGGTTGCTGCACTTGGGAGATGGATTGTGGTCTTCTGCGAAGGCGCGTTGGCTGACCACGCTCGCAAAGCTGGGTATTACTCGATTTTGGGTCTTCGTTCCTATACTGCGCCACATAGACATGGCTGGTTAATATAAATGTTCTCGGGGGCACGAAAGGGGTCGTTGAATACAGTAATTCCGAAACAAAAATGAAAATCCCTCGGCACCGAAGAATGACCAAACTACAAAATTTTAAACCGAAAACACAATCAGCTCAACGGAGCCGATGTGAATTTTGGAAGAGGCCGAGAGGAACTGGCCTACAAACTTATTCGACATGGCTACATCGCCACGAAGTGAATTTCAAGGCCTCCTCTTTAGAACATTGTTATATGGATATAGAAAAATCGTCCGACGACGCAGAATAATCCATAAATTATACATAGGAAACAAGAAGCAAATACTTTCCATTTCCTCGATTATCAAATACCCGTTTCTCAGGTAGTGGGAAAGTATATTCCATATGGAAGTATATTCCATATGTAAGTATATAATGAAGTATATTCCTCCAAGCGAGAGGTTGGTTTGTGGGAGTTAGAGTATGCGGGCATTCTTCTGAAGCAATCTTGCGCCTCGTCTACATCTTTAGAATCTGGTTGCTCAACCTAAGCTTTCTACCTCTTAAATTCCCGACAAAGGCAGACCAGTGATCCTGGTTAGGAATATACGAGTGTAGAGTCGGAAACTCGTCCTTCTACCTGCTACATATTTTTAATGCAATCTAGTACGCCCGTCCATTCCCACAAGTATACAGAACAAGATTGAAATTACCAATCATTTCCTAAGATCTTTAAAATATATCTCTAGTTAATAATCTCGCTTTCCATCTCGCTACTACTTCCTATAATTACTTATAATTTATTAGTGTATGGCTCGAATCCAAAATGTTTGGCGTCTTTATTAATTCATAGGTAGAACAAAATTCCATTTGCGCTTTTACTACACTTTAAAGCTTTTTTAAGGCCCTACAGATTTTAAGGATATGGACGGTGCGGTTTTAAGTGCGAAAAGCTGCATGGAACCTATTACATACTTTTCAACAGGTTTAGCTCAGATATATCTAGAGGCATTTTAGAACTTGTGTTCAAAATTTCGCATAAAGTTGGCCTTGAATGGCCACTCCGGGCTTGGGATGTCGGCTCATAGTTAGTCTACACTCAGTCCTTGGCCTAACAAAACATATTCTCGACTTTTTTCGGCTTTGTAAAACAAAATTTGGAAAAAAAAATTAACATGTTGCGAATGTTGCGTCAGAAGTGTCGTTCCCTCGTGGATCGGAGCATGCCGTGTCTGGAGTCCTTGGTGGATGCCTGTTCCATATTTAAGGCCGATTGGTCCAAGAATCTAAGCCCCATCAAGCCTTCGGTCGACTGCGCCGGCTCCAGTGTGCTCCGCCAGCACCTGGTACGCCGCAACTACAGCAGCCAGTCGTCCGCCGACGACTGCGGCCTGCCAAAGGATTGCGGGCAGGAATCGACCTCCAAGAGCTGCGGTCCTGCTCGGTTTAAGGGCACCATTTGCGATGCAGCCAAGGGCGGTAAGCGCAAGAAGAAGGAAGAGCCCAAGAAGGAGAAGTCCAACAAGCCGAAGCTGTCAGCCAGGATGCGGTCCATGTGGTACATACCCGACTGCGAGTACGAGCCAAAGTGCGACGTGCCAGTGCGGTACGACATCCAGTACTACCGCATCTCGGACAAAGAGGCCCGGCAGTACCAGGTGACGTGGAACGAGTGCCCCCGGCTGGTGATCAAGCCCAAGAAGGTGTGCATACACGCGAAGCATCCGCGTCCGAAGCCCTGCCGCCGTCCCAGGAAAACGGTGGTGGCCACAGCCCGTGTGCCCATGCTCAACCCCATGGAGTGCAAGAAGCCGGAGGATATGTCACTCTGTCCGCGCTGGACGCTGCCCTGCTGCAAGCCCGCCCGCATTCCGCCCAGTTGCCACCAAGAACGCAAGCCCACCGACTGCACCAAACGCCCGGCGCCGTATCCCAGCTTCTCAGAATGCAAGCGGGAAGAGCTGTCCAAGGCACCACCCACGGAGTGCCTATGCCTGAAAGTTCCGATGGCCTGCGAGATGTGGGCGGAGCTGAGGCGAAGGATCGCCCGGGGCAAGGGGGCGGTCCTTAAGTGTGGCGAAATGTAGGCGGCGGCGGAAGCCCAGTCACTCGACAGCTGACCACATTCCTGTCACTTATCCAACTCCGTATAGTCCCATCCAAATTACAGTTTTCCGAAACAGCCTTAACACTCCCTTACCTAAACTCTCTCTTTCCACACTTTCCAAATTCAAAATGTTGTTTAAACGCTGCGGAAAAGTCCTAATGCCACTCGCCGCCCGATTGGCCAGTTGTGCCGGCTCCAAGGGCGGCGCCTCGGACTCCAAGTGCAACTCCAATTCGAAGGGGAAAGGCCAACCCGAGCCCGGCTGCAAGCGCTCCGCAAAACGTAAGAACTGCTCCAAGGTCCCAACACCATTCCCGAGCTACTCTGAGTGCAAGCGGAAGCGGAGTGATCCTAAACCTTCCAAGGAATGCGATTGCTGGGACTTTGACAAGTGCTGATCCTCGTCATTTTGGATATCGGAGATCCGGGGATGTCCTCCGCTTACGGCAATCCCCCGTTTTCACACCTCAAGACTGAGCACTCAATACTCAAAAAACCGTTGGTGGCACTGGGAGCCGAGGTGTTTTGTCCATGTAGAACCTTTGCAGTTAACCTGGGCGCCTTTAATCCATGTCAAACTGACCGACGTTGAACGAATATAGGAATATAAAAAGCATTACCCATTATTTTGTAATTAATTGGATGGGCAATAGGTTACCATAATCGAATCTGTTGGGTATTTAAACTGCTGAAGTTTTTTAATTTGCAGGCAGCAAACGTTCATTCCTTAGAAACATTCTCCTTATATAGTTTATAAAAAGGAGCTTTGGCTAAAATCCGAAATCAACCATGAATAAGTACCAGACATCGAAAAGTCTTTATAAACTCATCTAGTAAGCCCTGAATTGTCACTTCCCAACTAGTTTATCATTGCTGGCTTTTAGGCATAACAATCTGTTTGGTTTCGTTCTACAAAATTGTATATATTTATTATTTTGAAAATTTATAGGTTATATAAAAATTTAGTATTGAAACCATGAATTCGTCAAATGCCTTGTTAAGCAGGATAGTGGCCTTCGGATTTGGAAACCTCGTAAAGCGGCGCGGAATGAAGCAGCTTCGCTTAGATGCCATTCACTACAAACTGAGCTCTGAGCCGGGACTACAGATGGAGCCGGAGCCTCAGAGGCGCCTGGATGACACGAATTACAGCCCAGGGAGATGGACGGAGCGGAAGTATCAGGCCACCTGGAGGGAAGCTGTCATCGAAAATGAGCAAGGTGACGAGGAGGCGGGGGTCCCACACTCACAGGAGGAGCGACCACCCGTCCGGGAACTTCGCCGAGCTGTCGACCCAACAAGGCGCCTCCAGAGGATTGCCATTCCGGCCAACCAATTCATCTCGCAGCTTATCTCAACCCAAAGCAGAAACAAAAGGCGTCACGTTGAAGCTGCCGCAGATCGAATGGCGTTTGATGGATACCAACCGATCTAAAGTGCCAAGTAAAAGGCTTGTTTTCGCTATCATATTGTTCATACCATTCATGACGTTAAAGGATATACTAATTCGTTGATAAGTTGAAGGAACAGGTAGAGAGAAGCCTTTCCGACCCTATAAAGTATATATATTCTTGACCAGAATCACTAGCCGAGTCGATCTGGCCATGTCTGTCTGATTTGTCCAAAATAAACCAGGAAATTATGAAATTGTGTGCGGGTATCGGATAGTCGAGAAACTCGAGTACTCCCTCCTGTTCTGGTTTAAAGGTTTTTGTAGAAACAAACAAATTAAAGTTGCAATTCTTAAGATTATTGTTTTTATAGTTTTTCTTTACGTATGAGAGGACATATGTAAGGTAATACCAAAGACACTAGAATAATAAGATGCGTAACGGCCATACATTGATTTTGCACTATGCAGCAACTTTTTTTGGTGGCGGCAGTAATTGCTCTCTTCCCGCTCGCATAAAATTGAGAGTGTATGTACCGGTGTATGTATGTACATATGTATGTATGTATGTATGTATGTATGTATGTATGTATGTATGTATGTATGTATGTATGTATGTATGTATGTATGTATGTATGTATGTATGTATGTATGTATGTATGTATGTATGTATGTATGTATGTATGTATGTATGTATGTATGTATGTATGTATGTATGTATGTATGTATGTATGTATGTATGTATGTATCTATGTATGTATGTATGTATGTATGTATGTATGTATGTATGTATGTATGTGTATGTATGTATGTATGTATGTATGTATGTATGTATGTATGTATGTATGTATGTAGTGTATGTGTTACTTGCACAAAGTAGTAAAAATTGTCCTAATTAAAGCCTGAAGAATGTTTAACTTACTGTCGGAACACATAGTTATTGCCGCTTTTAATATTTGCTTAGGAAAAATATTTTCTTGTAGCCCTATAATTCCCAACTAGTTCTAGTGAGGACTGTAAGGCATGTCTTCTAATTTAGAGTCGCAAAATAGTTCAAGTAATCTCTCCTACCGGTCGAGCAGTGAGTGCAGTGTATGTGTTCTTAAATGTGATGACTTCCAAGATCAATTTGGCATCCCTCTTGAACAAATAACCGGGCAAATGTTATTCATACAAGTATTTGAACTGTTATAATATTTATTTTAAAATATTTATTCATAAAAAATATTTAAAATACAATATAAAATTATTGTAAAGATATTGATTACCCTCCACTGAAAGGGATATATATTTTTATGTTTATTCGTATACAAAGTGGTACTTTTAGAGCCAGCCCGAAAAAATCGGGTGCAAAAAAATCGTATGACGTTACGCATCTTATTATTCTAGTGTTTTTGGTAATACCATTTTTCTTGGAAAAAATTGCCATACTAAACATAACTAAAGCCAGTCCGCTTTTATAGTGATAAAACACTTTTGTTTCGCGTACAGAAGATATTCACCGCTATAGTTGAGTTTCTAGACTATCAGATACCCGTTACTCAGCTTGTGGGATTGAGAATTGCATATCGATATAAATTGGCAAGGAAAGTAAAAACATGAAAAAATATCAAAACAAGTGTGTTCATGGGAGTATTTGGCGGCTTGTAGGCGTTAGAGTAAGCGTGGCCAAACATTTTTTAGCAAATGGGTAGAAATGGGAGAGACAAATAGAAAAATAAAAAATGTTAACACATTTTTGAAAAAATGGTCCCCGTAGCAGTTTTGGGCAACATAGTGAACCAAATTTGCTCTGAATTCTGCATTTCTAGGGTGACGGATAGACGGACATGGCCAGATCGACTCGACTATTGAGCCTGATCAAGAATATATATACTTTATATGGTCGGAACCGCTACTTCTACCTGTTACATACTTTTCATCGAATAGTATAAAAACCTCAGCTACCCGAGTAACTTTCTTCAAATTACGACACTTGTTTAAATATCACATTCCGTTACAACGCTCATGATGAAAATTTCGCAGTGACTCCCAGTTTTGTTTATATTTTAAATCAGGACTAAATTTTTGCAGTGCGTAGGGCATATTTGCAACTTATTAAATACCCCACTTTGATTCCGTCTTAATTGGAACACAATGATGCTGGCAAAGAAGACGTTCTTCCGAGCACCAGCTGCTATAAGGAGTGGATTGACGTCGAGGACCAATCAGGTGCGCGGCATGGAGTCGATGTACGATCCGTATGAAGATGGTGTGCCCAGGATGGGCGCCGTGCGTAAGGATCTGAAAAAGAAGGAGCCCGTGGACAACACCAAGGTGCCGATCAAGGACATCTGCTGGATGGCGATGCGGCGCAGCGAGTACAAGTGTCGTTCCGACCCCGAGTTCAATGTCCCGTCCTTCATCGACACCCGCAAGAAGTGCCTGGCTGATCCCTGTGCGATGTCCTATCCGCCGTCGGACCTGATGTTCTACAAGCCCACCGACAAGCTGAATCGCAAGTACCAGCGCACCTGGTGCGAGTGCGAGCTTCAGGAGCGTAAGAGGAAGGCCGTCTGCCGGAGCCGTCCGCCCAACTTCTTTCGACGGCCCCTTCGAACTCCGCCGCTCCAGGCTTCGAAGGTTTGCCCCGAGGGCAACAAGAGCCTTGGGCTGGGGCTTTGCCGCCCGAAGCCCGCGAAGAGCTCCTGCCCCAGGTTCAAGATGCCCTTCTGCAAGTCCGCCAGCAAGGTCGGCTGCCGGCCAGGACGCCCCCCCTCCGATTGCATTCGACCCAGGACCAAGTATCCCAGCTTTTCGGAGTGCCAAACGTATCCGCTTCCGGAGGTTCCTCCCACGCACTGCTTCTGCATCAACCAGCCGCCCATGTGCGTGGTTTGGAACTACTTCCGCATGAAGAAGTCCTAGTTGCCTAGGTCGTCCTGCAGTTACCAATTGCCAAACATAAGATTCGAATAAACAATAGGACATACATTATTTGGGACTAAGCGGATTTAATATTGGGTATACTGACAGCGTGCTTTGGGTTAAAGCTCGTATGCTTTAAATTACATTTGGATACCAGTCTCGTGTTTAGCAATGGTCTCCTTAGTTGGACTTAACCTATATAACCCAATGCATAGAAATCGTATATCGTGAAATCGTTCTGTACACAGAGTCCTTTGGCTAGCATGTCAGACATTCGCTACCTGAGTTAAAATTTCGAACCGCACCTTTTCGGCAAGCGCCTCTCTAAATTTGATATTCAAAAAAGCCAGGCACCATGCTCAGCTCGAAGCTGCGCCTGCGCCGAGCACAGATTCCAAGGATTCCGATCCCGAGTCGCTGGTACAACTGGGGCAACTACGACGCCAGCTCTGGGGAATGCTGCAAGATGCGCGACAAGGATGCCACGGCCTGCAAGGATGGCAAATGGTTCTGTCCGGTCAAGTACGAGCCCAACAAGTGCTACAAGAAGTCATCCTTTGGCGTAACAGAGTATCCCCAGTATCTGCAGGAAATCTATAATCGGGGCAAGACTGATCCCGACTGTTTGCTGAAGCTGATCCGCCATGACACCGACCACTACAAGCCGTCGGATAAGAGCCGCAAGTTCCAGCGCACGTGGCCTGAGTGTCCGCTCCTCTGGCTACGACCAAAGGACACCTGCTGCCCGAATCCGGAGATATATATGCCCATGGATCGCCGCATCCGCCCCCCGCAGGAACCGCCGCTCTCGGCCATTGATAAGCACCTCTTCCAGATGAGTATCTTCTGCAACGCAGTCCGTGCTCCCTGTTGCAAGGTAGGTCGACGACCGCCCAACTGCACCAAGCCGCGGAGGCCATCCGAGTGCTGCAAGAAGTGTACGCCCATGCCCAGTTTTTCGGAGGCCTGCCGCCATCTGATACCACGATTTTGTGGCTCCGAATGTGCCTGTCGGGGAGGGAGCCTTTGTGAAATGTGGAACACGTATAACAAGTGCAACAAAACGCGCAGGAGCTGCATGAAGCCGTTTATAGGGTATTCTCCCTTAAGGTCCAGGATGCGATTTCCGTTCTGAGAGATTCCTAGGTGTGCGGACATCTGAGTTATCCATGGTTTCCCTCAACAAATAGTATGGGAAGTATTCGGACGCCGATGAAAATTTGGAAACCCGAAAAACCCGTACCAGGAATCTTGCCATCCACCATCATTAGGCCAAAGCCAGGGACTTTTCTGCCCTCTATGGATATGCTAAAAAATCTGACCTAGTGTTCTGGGCCCAACTACTCACAAGTTCGACAGCTTTCGGAAAATCAGGCGGCAAAACCCAAATTCCCCCAAAATTTTAAGGATGCAGTCAGCACTCTGGTTCATTTGCAGGCAAGGTTTCCGGAGCTCTGCCATTAAAACGCAAGGCTTCAGGAGCTTCGCCAGCAAAGTGACCTACCACGCGGATCCGCCATGCCAACCTGCCGACCCTTTGTGCCATCATGTTCCAAGCGGCAGATGCGTGGGGGCCAGGGAGGTGCTAGCTCTCAAGCTGCCGCATGAGAAGTTGTTGCAGCAGGAACGCGAGCAGGAGAAGGAGAGGAAGTGCTGTGTGCTGCGATCGGCGGCCAAAAATCCCTGCCCAGAAATAAGGCGACCCGAAGCCCCCAAGCCGGAGGAGAAGCCATTTCGCTCGATGTGGGAGCCACCTTGCCGGGCGGACGAGCAGCCGTTCTGCAAGGAAATGCTGCCTCGCTTCGACGCGATGTACTACCATCCTTCGAAGAAGTGCCGCTGCTACCAACGCACCTGGGTGGAGTGTGCACCCGTTAAGCGGCGCCTAAAGAAGGTTTGCTGCCTAGACGCCATCGATCCGCCAGAGATTCTGTACCGAATCAGGCCGCCCTGCCCGGGAACTTGCGCAATCAACTATAAGGCCAGAAGGCTGCTCTGCGAGGAAGGGGACTTGGAGCGGGATCCAATGATGAGGTGTCGCAAATTCTTTCACCCCTGTTGCAAGCTGGCTCGCTGCAATCCTCGTTGCACCAGAGGCAGAAAGCCCACCAAGTGCACCAGACTACGTGCTCCATATCGCGCTTTCTCAGAAATAGGAAGGTGGAAGAGACCGTTGCGGAAAAGGGAGTGCCTTTGCCTGGAGACCATACCCAAATGTATAGCTCTTAGGGAAAGAATGAGACGCGGTTCTTGAGTGATTGTTCTTAACTAAATCTGAAAGAATGGAAGCGGAGGGTCTGCCTTTTAAAACGAAGCAATAGATACAAGTTGCGTTTCTATTACTTTGCTTTAGAAGTCAGGTCTTCGATCCGTACAACAACCATGGAAACTACTCAACTATAATGTGGCATAAAACATTTAAATTTAAAATTATGAGTCGTAATAAAAAACATAACTGAAATTCATGAACTGCATTTTTTAACCCTTGCCTTTATACCTATGAATAATTGACTGACTGATGATTTTCATTTTCGACATCAAGGCCACCCACGCCATTGCAGTCATCCATAGAATGAATCGATCATTTCGGAGTGACCCATTTTTTAATCAAGCAACAGGCTTCCAAATCGAACGTTTCCATTTAGATACTACCCAACACAACTCTCACGCAGACCGCAGCATTCAGGGCAACTAAGCAGCAGAAGAAGCCAGCGAGAACTGGTGAGGATCTGAGATGGGTACCTCTGTATTGGCCACCATGTGTGCCGAGCGCCTGACCAAGCTCCTCGTCCGCTACTCCCGTGCTCAGCCTGCCGTGGGGCGGAATCAGTCGCACTGCGTCGATAATGTGCTAAGTCCTTTGCCAAGGAGTGAAGCCACCACCGCCTTCCTGAAACCAATGCACACTGCTGGCCAGGTCCATCCCCAGCCGAAGCCCGCCAACAAGTGGCAGCCGATGGGCAGCATCACGAGCATCGGACAGAGATTCCAGCGGGAGGCCATGGATGAGATTTGTGCCAGGGCCAAGGACCGCCTGCTGCCAAAGGCCGAACCGCGACGTTTGAACTTCTCCAGAAACCAAGCCTTCTTCCCCAACAAATCGAGAGGCTTGGAAGATTGGAAGCATCCGGAAAGTGGGCGGTACTCAGCCCCATTTGTCAGCCTATTCCAGGCTCCGAACTGTCCTAGTTTACCGAAAAATACGTTTGCCCATCCTCTTTCCTTCGATCGCCAAAAACTGTATCGGGACTGCTATTAACCGAACATGGATAGTCTTCGATCCTGATGCCAAACTCATACGCAGCTCAATTACTTGACGTGCATTTTAGCGTTGTGATTGGGTTGCACTTGCGATTGGCACCAGGAGTCCGAGATTCTCCACAATTCGACGTATTAAAGATGTAATGTGTATAGTTAATCAATGGCTTGTGTACTAAGTGGGATGGGCATGGATACTTAATAACATAGGTCATCATGGGCTCCTCCGAATAAGAAGCACACACTTTATTAAATTCATAGCCTAATTGACCGAAATGTTTCGTGACAACTCTATATGAGAAACCCCGTATTTAACTCTCAACCTCATACCTTTTCATTCGTTTCGGCAACACTTCCTCTTCGAGAAGGAACTCAAATTTAAGTGCAGCAGCCATGCTCAACTCCTTGGCCAAAAGAATTGTGCTGATGCCCAGCCTTATAGCACTGGAGGATGCTAGTCGAGCTATTCACGTTACCGCGCTCTTGGCGAGGATGGGGAAGGATTGCTGTCCCGAGAGTGAGGTGCCCGGCTGCAAAGTGGTGAAGAGGCGGCCGTGCAGTCCCACGGACCCACCAGTTCGTCCTTGCAGCGAGCAGGACTGTACTCCGCCGCGATACCCATGTTGCGTGAGTACCAGCATTGCGAGTAATCCATGCGCCGAGCCGAGAAAGAAGGCCAAGTTCGCCTCCATGTGGAAGAGCTACAAGGACAAAGGCATCGAGCGGCCGGAAACTATGTGGCACTACCCGGAGGAGTGCTGTCCGAAATGTGAGGACACGCGCTTTGACGTTCTGTACTACACTCCTTCGGACAAGTGCCGCGAGTTCCAGCGCACCTGGTGGGAGTGCTGTCCGCGAATGGTACCGAAGCGAGTCTGTTGCTGGTGCGACGCCATTCCGCCGCAGGTCCTGCGCCGGGATCTGCCCATCTGCCCGCGATCCTCTTGTCTCCAGGAGCACGAAAGGAAGCGCTACAAGTGCCTAAACGAAAGGTACAAGGGTTGCATGCGCATCCGTATGCCGTGTTGCCGAACGGCTCGCATACCGCCCGACTGCAAGGCAATGCGTACTCCTTCCGACTGCGAGAAAGTCAAGTGCCCGTTCCCCAGTTACTCCGAGTGCCTTCAGGAGGATCCCGCTGTTATCCCCATGCGACCACCGGAGTGTGAGTGCCTGAAAAAGGCGTCTACCTGCGAGCAGATCCGACGAGCAGAGCACATGGAACACAACAACATAAGCATATGGCCCTGTTCCTCCAGGGGATCGTGAAGATGAAGACCACAACTGATGGTTCCGGTAACTGTGGTCTCCGTTGGGATTTCTGAAACCCCTCATGTAACAGAAATCCCTACGGAGACCAAAGGTGGTACCTTATCTTTATGGTTTCCGGTGATAATGGCAATCTCCATCCTAGCAACCCGGGCCCCACACTGAAAATCTGTCAGTTGAGGCTCACCTCATATCTCCCTCCATTGGCATTCGGAACCCTGTTTGAAATTCGAAATTCTAGGCCTCATTCAAAATTAAAACATGCCTCGCCTCTCGATGCTCTGCGGGCTGTCGCGCAGAATCATCTGCTCCAGCACCGTTCACAGAAATCTTTGGCGACTATTGTCCGACAGTTCCGATTCGACCATTACCCCACACGCATCGGACCAAACGGATAATAATGTGAAGAAATTCAAAAGGAAGACGCAAGCGGAGCACTCAAGTCACCTGTTTGTGTGGCCGGAGGCGAAGGACGAAAACGTGCACCATGTTGAAGAGAGCAAGGAGGATAGCAATGACGACATAACTGCATCATGGGGCTGGAAAAATGACGAACTCGACGTGGAGCAATTGGCAGGACTGCCAAGTCCTAATGAGGTAGAGGATCCCTACCGACCGGCAATCAATGAATTCGAGGATGATCAGTTTCATTTCGCTGAAGCTGACCAATCAGGAATTCAAGAAGATTTACAATTCGCCAGAACGCGCTCCCTGCGGGAACAGCTTACCCAGAATCAGGATTCCCAAGAACCTTTTACTAGCCTTGAGAAAACTTCTCTCACATCCGTTCGAGAGAATGTGGACTTCATGATGCAGGAGCTCAGTCAGATTTCCCTTATTTTGAATACTATGGGAGAAGCTGAAAACACAATGGGAATGGTTAACTCTGAGACGGAAATGGGTTCCCTTGCCCTCAACCAACCCAATACAAGTGAGAGTTTGGATAATGAGGAGACAACAAATCACTTTTTGGACTCTGAGTTAGACAGTGCTACGTCCGGTCAATCAGATCTTGAGGGGATTTCCGATCAGTCTATGGAGGTCTGGTCAGAGGTAGACAGTGCGTTGTCCGAGCCATCTGAGAACCTAGATCCTAGCGCGAATTTGAGTCCGTCTTTCGATTCCGAACTAGCCCATCAACCCAAATTGGATCATGAGATGGAGGCAAATCAGACTTTGGATTCTGAGTTATCTGCTGAAATGTCTAATCAATATTTGATTTCCAATGAGGACTTCGGGGAGGAGCTGCCAACAGAATCTCACAAAATCGAGGAAATCGTGTCTGCTGAGAATACTCAAGAGTCCAGTCCTTCGAAAACTAATCAGAATACTCCCAAGACTGATGACACGCAGGACACTCAGCCAAAGGAGACCATACACACCTACAGACCCTTTAGGACCATCGAAGTGCCTGCTAAGAAGCCCACTAGTGGCCTGTGCACCGAGTCAATGGAAGAGCAGCCCTCCACCCAGGAACCCCAATCCGCCACAGGCGTCCACTTAGATAGCGAGGGGTACAAAGTTTCTGCCGAGCTGACGGAGTCCGAATCCCGACTTCTTATGCGCATGGCTCTGAAGCAAGCTTTAGTTGATCTGGAGTCTGGCCAAAACAAATACAAAGCAACCGTTCTGGAGGCCGAAACCGAGTGAAATAGCAGCACCAAGAAGCAAATATAAATAAGATAGTATTTAAAACTTATTTTTTATTTTTATCCTTGCCCTTGCCCTTGCCCTTGTCCTTGTTCCTACTTGTAGCCCCTTTCTTCTGCTTGAGCATTTCCTTTCTTGCCTTCTTGGCTTTTCTGATGGCACTGGGGCACACATGGTTCTCCCCATGAATTTCGACCCACTGGCGACCCCGCTCCGCCTCGCAGAGGCTCAGAGGGAACCGGCACTCGCACTCGCGTGGCCGATATGGTCGCTTGGCCAGCTTGGGCTGCTTGCAATCCGACCAACAGGGCATGGGGGCACACAGCCGGCGGCAGCAGGAGGGCGTCTTGGCTCCGTGGCATCTGGGCGGACGACGTCCTGGCACGCATCGCGCCAAAGGAGCGAAATGGGGACAGGGTCCTGTGGCTGTGGGGCTTAACGTTGTCCGCTCACGCCGCTTGGCCACCCGACGGGCGGGGCTCAGGGCCTCCAGCTTGTCGTAGGCGCAGATGATCTTCTTGCGGATCATGAACTTGGGACACTCCACCCAGTGGCGCTGGTAGGGGCCGTTCTTGCAGGAGGGGCGGTAATACAGCTCGTCGAACGAGGGCAGTGGCTTGGTGCAGTTGGGGCCGCAGCACAGCTCATTCGATCGGTTGACCACGAAGGGATACGGCGGAGGCAGGTTCTTCGGCGGATCCCACATCGACTTGAACTTATCAACCTCGGCGCAGAAGGCGGCCGGAATGCAGTGAGTCCGGATCTTGCATTCCTCCTTGCCAGAAGGAGGCTTTGGTGGCGCTGGAGACGATGGCGGCTTCGGCGGATGTGGAGGATTTGGAGGCTTGGGGGGCTTACTTGAGGAGCCGCTCTGACGTGAGCTGAAGCCCCTTAAAAGGGAGGACCAAAACATTAGCCAAAACTTCTTTGAATGAAAACGGAATTTCGACAATTTTGTTGGGGGAAAGCGAAAAGGTAATTTACAATTTCTTGCTTGGTAACCGAAATTTTGATCGAGGCCTGCTGGACGAAAAGCAGTTGGTCGAAAATTGGGAAAATCGGAAGAGGGTCCTGTCGCACACATTCACTTCTCCTGCAACTCAACTTCAACGCAACGGCGACAGGCAACACAAAATTGCAAACAGCAGACTGCGCATGTTTAAATTTAATTGAACATTTAGCCAAATTAAAATGCATTTTATTACGCAGCCGCCGTTTCTGGCCTGGAAATGCAAAACAACGCGCGCCCAATCAGCCAGGCCAAGTCAACTAAATCCAGCGGAGTTGGCCGTACGCGCAGATCGACGGAGGAAAAGGCAAGCCACACTGAGAGAAATGCTTTGACCTTTAGATCAAATCGGCTCATGTATAAACTGATTTTTAATCAAAGATGTTTTGATAAACAAACTGTTATAACAGTTGGACTATTATAAGCGAATACATTTTAGCGTATATTTTGAGATGACTACTATTTTTTCATGTGCAGACACAGGCTCGGCCGAAAACCAAAGACGCTGACTGGGCCTAGGCACGCAACGGTTATTCAGTTTTGTCGGTTTTTCGATTTGGCCTTAAATTGGCATAGGCAGCGCCTATGCGAAATGTGGCACAGATTCGCGGCAGATTCGAAGCTATTCGGCTGGGATCGGATCGCATTGGATCGGATTGGATCGGATTGGGCCGAGGCGGAACTGAGAGTTGCAAACTGGTTGCGGACAGGCCTAGCAAGCATGCGTTCTGCAATTGTTTAATAGCCTAATTAAGTGTGCGAGCGAACAGGTTGGCCAGGCCGGGAAAGTCGGGAAATCGGAAAATCGGAAAAGTCGGGCATATGCAAAACCAAAGGAGCAGAGCGGCTGTCGTGCCTCACCAAGAGATGTGATGTGATGTGATGTGACGGGACAGTGACTGCCATGCGGGTGGTTTGTCAGCTGCTAATGCCAGTCTGTCTTCATTTTGCTTTTTCTATTTTTTGCTCCTTGTTCTGGCTTGCAATTACATTTGGCTGTTAATTGCATTATGCATATTTATGGAAGCTCTCCGGCTGCAGCTCCTCCCCCGGCAATCGAGTTAGGTCCGGAGAAGGATCGGGGGGCAGAGAAGGCAGGAGCAAGGGAAGCAGACGGATCCGGCGACAATGCCGGCTCATTAGCATACATCAGCGCGTTAAGCTTGGAGCGAGTGTCTGACTGAGTTACGACCAGCTTTCCACTGTCTGAAGCTGCCGTCATCATCACCATCGCCATCACCATCACCATCGCAGTCATCGTCATCCAGTGAGTGGCTTAGTGGGTGTTGCCCTCTAATTTAAATTAAAATATGAAAAATACTCAACGAGCGAAAGGGGTTTGCTGGCGAACAAAAACATCACGCTGCGGAAGCTGAGAAACGTGCAGAAAAATCAAATCTAAAATAGCTGCTGGACATGGCATAATCAAATTGTGCGCACTAAGGAGATACGGAAAATATTATTTGCCAGGAGATTGTTGTCGCTGTGTGTGCTGCTGCAACTAATTATATTATTACGATTTAAGGAAATGTTGCAGCTTCTGCATTTAGCAGATACAAATCAACAAAAATTAATAAAGATTACTCCTGTTTGCTAGTTAAGTCACATAAGAAGTTTCATCAGGAAATGAAATTACGAAGGGCCTTACCTTATATCTTATATGTCAGACACGAGAAAATTAATAGAAACATATCAAAAAATCACCAAGAATTTTACAATTTGTTTGCTATGCTTTCAGCAGTTTTCCTAAAAAGTTCCATCTGCATATCCCACGCACTAGATTCCTGGCCTGAATGACTCTTAACTACTTTTTCTCGCCAACACCCAAAGTATTTTCTCTGGAATGTCCAAAAGCCATGCTCTCAGTCGGCGTTTTCTTGGCTCAAGAGTGCGTGGGGTTCCTGGAACTGGCGGAGAAAGCTGAGAGACTTGACTAGGAGCAGGGAGCTGCGAGCTGGATGGAACCTTCTGCTCGCCTGGTGCGCCCAAGAGCTCCGACGAGAGAATGCGAGGAAGCCGGAGAGGAAGTTGGTGGCCCGGAGCACGCGAGCGTAATTCGTCCAAATGGCCATAATAAATAAATGTGCCATTAGCCCGCTCGCAAAATCCGCCTAAATCTACACAAGCAGAAATACCAGACGGCATTCGTATACCAATAAGCCGCCGGACGGACGAAAACTTTCTAATCGCAGTATAATTGCAGGGGACCAACAAAAAATATTCGTAAACCACATTAAGAAGGAAAAAAGGAAAAAAGCAGGGGAAATACTCGCACACGCAGCATTAGCCACAACTAACATGACATGCGCCAAATTATGCTGCCAATTTCGCAGGTGGGGAGCGTAAGTCATGCAAAGCGAACTGCAGCTTATGATTGGGAAACGCTGGTAATCAGTTTGTTAACACCCGGCGACAATTAGCGACTGGGTTAAGTGCTTGGCTATATTGGACCATAAGCCAATTGCCGTCGATATAAATTCACGGAAATTTACTGGACAGCCGCTCGCACGACATTAGCATTAGCATAATTAAGTTGGCTTAAGCCGAGAACGGGTTTCTCTAAACCGCAGATTGAAACTTCTGCCCATTGGAAGACTATCGCCGATCGCCGAGCGAAATGCCAATTAGGCCGACCCTAATGCCGCCCGGCCCCACCCAACTTATGGAAACAGGATCGCGTTCGGGGCGAGGGGCACAGCTTAATTGAAATAATTACACATTAGTTGCATTAATTATTTTCACTTGCATGCAAACCGCCAGGACGCCTGCAAGTCGCCACTTTGCCTTCTGCCTTTGGCGTAATTATTAATTTAAGCCATTCGGCGACTCCGCTGGGTATCGTAGGCCATTACGGCTGCAACATCGCGCAACATCGGCACGACATCCACTTGCAACTCGTTTTGTAGCCGCCGTTGGCTTAGGTCATAATTATAAACGCAAAATCATAATTAAAGTGTATTTAGCCGGACTTTGAAATATGTTTCCACCGCCCCCGAAGACAGAAGACAGCTTGAGAGTGGTCCGGCAGGAGTCGGTAATTAGCCGGAATATGTCGGATAATGTCGGGGGTGTCTAATCGCTGGCGTGGAATGGAATAAATACTGCGAAGGATAGCTTAGTGACCTATAAAATCAATCAAGCCCCATATGGCACTCGTGTTGAGACTATATCCCATATAAATATTGTATGTTATTAGAAATCCTCTTGAATAATGGATCTTACAGCCCTTTTGGTGCAGGAAAGGGGTCAATAGCTTTGGCCAATCACCAAAATATTTCCTCCAGTCCGCTCCAGTCTGTTTGCACAGTCTTCTTCTAAACTAATTAAAGCATACAATACCCAAATTAATTACTAAAACAGGTTAAGTTGGGCGCATAATAGCCGTCTATGCAGCAACTGCTGTTCTGTCGCTCCTGCCGCTCCTGTCGCTGTTGCTCCTGTGGATCTCGTCCTGTCGATGGATGTTGCTCCTGCACCTGTCGTTCTCGGCGCTTGAATAATTATTGCAGTCAACTACTGTTCGGGTCCGGTATCAACCGGCACGGGGTCTGGCTATAGCTCTGGCTCTGGCTTTGGCTTTGGCTCTGGCTTTGGCTTTGGCTGTGGCTTCGGTGCCCTCCCAGCACGTCAATTGTTTCATTAGTTACCCCCAGCGCAGACGAGCTTGTTCGGCGGACAACTCGGCGTATGTGTAATGTGGCCCGGAATGTGCGCGTTGGCGGGGGGCGGGGGGGCGGGCGCGGGGTATGCAAATAAAGTGCGGAATATATTTACTAATAACTATTTTACCTTAGCGACATGTGTCGCGCTCACCAGCGGAACCACATTTGCGTTGTCCTCTTTGGCCAAAAGTTTTGCGTCAATGTTTTTGGCTTGTGCCCCTCAAAGGGGCGGGCGCTGGCCACGCCCACAGTTTTTTCCGACTGTGTCGCATATGTCAGCTGCTCCTTTCATAATTTATTGAAGCACATAAATTTCACTTAATTGGCGGTGCCAATAATAAAGCACCAACAAGAAAGACTAACGATGA